TCCAGGCCTCAGGGTGTGTGTGTGGGGATCCAGGCATCAGGGTGTGTGTGGTGGGGAGGGATCCAGGCCTGCTCCAGAGTGCAGACCCCGCCGTTTGGGAAGCTCAGCTGCAAGTCTGGTCGTTTGGTGTCAGAAGCGGAAAACTCTGTTTTCCTGAATCACTGTGTGAAGCGCAGCCCTGGAAACAGCAGCTCCCACAGGCCAGAGCTCACAGCTGTTTCTGCAGTTCTGAGGGGGGGAGAAAAACCAAACCCATTGGCTTGCAGTCCATTCCCACTCATAGTGAGCTCGAGGGATGGGGCAGGAAATACCTGGGAAGGGCGTGGCTGATAAGCCCTGAGTCAGGACAGGGCCTGACAGGTCCTGCTGAGGACCTGCCTCTGAGGCCCAGCTGAAGTCACTAAGATGGCCTTGGAGGCGGCTCTCCTGCCGCCTCCGGGCTGGAATGAGACCTGCCTCTCTGGCAGTGAGAGCCCAGAGCTACCCTGCTGGCCCTGGGCGCCCTGGCCTTGCCCGTGCATGCACACACGTGCACACGCATGCACACACGTGCACACGTGCACACACATGCACACGTGAACATACATGCACATATGCGGGCGTGCATACACGCACACACACACATAACATGCACACACACATGAGGGCTGGTTGGTTCCGTATAGGAGCAGGAGGACGGGCCCCTCGAAGCTCGAGCCTAAGCGTCGTGTGTCTGGGGGGCGGGGGCTGCACGTGTGCAGCCTGTGACTGCGTGCCTGTATGAGTGCAGCTGTGTAACTGTGTCTGCGTGCTCAAGCACTCGCCAGCAGAGTGCACAGAATGGCCTGGGGAGGGGACTGCAGAAGCTGAGGAGAAGGGGCTGCAGCCTTTGGGCTCTGGGCCACCAAGGTTGTGGGCAGAGGAGGGTGGTGGCTCGGAGCTGCCGAGAGTCGGGTGCCGTGCGAGTGCTGGGGGGGGCGTCCCCACTCCTCAGCATGTGCCCACTGGGCCCTCGAGGTGGAGACGTGGATGGAGCTGGGGGACCAGAAGCTGCCCGAGGTGACAGTACCACCCTGGGGGGGGGGGGGCTCAGGAGCAGACCCAGCGCCAAGGGCAAGTTGGAGGCAAACGAACATGTAGTGTCAGATGCCAGCTCAGCGCTCAACCACTGGGGCCACGTTCCCTGGAACCGGCAGTGGGTGCATGACCCCCTCAGGGCGAGGCCCTGAGCTGCACCCCCACACCCGGGGCATGAGTCCCTGAGCCCTCTGCTGGAAGGCACAACTCCACAAGCTCCAAGCCAGGGCCCTGCAGACGGGGGAGAGGACAGAACGGAGGGCCACAGGGAGCGCTGCCTGGGACCGGGGCGCCTGGGTGGCACGAGGCTGGCTAGGGGTGTGGCTCTGGGAGCCCTCGGGAGCGAGCATGGAGCTGCCAGCTGGAGGAGGCAATGAGCTTTCCGGGCCAACAGGGGCAGGAATGAAGAGAAGTGTGGGCGAAGGGACAGCAATGACGGCGGGGTCCTGTGGAGTGGGGCCGTGTCAGGCAGCTGTACCCGTGCCGGGGCCTGGCTCAGGGCTGGTGTCAACCGGGACGGGGAGTCCCAGGGGCCGCCCCCGTCTCAGCCCAGCTCCGGGAGGGACGGATTCCCCCACCCTGCACTGGACACATGGACGTGAGGGCAGGGCAGAGGTTTCTGGGCCAAGACTGGTGCCAGGATTGCTGACTCAGGGCTGACTCCCGACTGGCTGGGAGGAAACCGCCTGAAGCTGCGGAGTGTGGAAGCCCCTCCCCAGACTGTGTGTAGGTGAGGAGTCCTCTCCACACCCGGACCTTGCCTTCACCAGCAAAGACCCTGAACTCTGAGCTGCCTGGGGGCCTCCCTTGAGCTCAGTGGCTCCAGAGCCCCCGACCATGTCCTTGGGCTGCACATTTGGGCCTGTGTCCCGTGTTCTCTGGAGAGTGGCCCCCAACCCAGCCACCCCAAGGTTGTGGGGGGCTCACTGAGGTTGTGGGGGGCTCACCAGTTGTGGGGTGCTAACTGAGGTTGTGGGGGGCCCACTGAGACTGTGGGAGGCTCACTGGGGTTGTGGGGCTGACTGATATTATAGGGCTGACTGATATTGTGGGGGGCTGACTGAGCTAAGCCTGGGTGCAGTAACGCGTAACTTCCGTCTCAGGGGACGTCCCTGTGGGAGTCCAGACCTCAGTACCTGGTGGGAGCAGGCCCAGTCCACCTGCCCCCCTCCCAGATCCCTCCCCGGTCCAGGCACTGGTAGCCTGCCTGGCACTCGGGCTGGTCTCCTCCCCTTGCTCTGCGGCCGCAGATGTGTTGTGGGGACATGCTGTAGTCTCTGGAGGGCTGCCAGGGTGGGTGTGTGCCCCTTGGGGAGGCTGGCTGCCAGCTGTGGGTACAGGAGCAGGTGGGTGGGCGCCCAGACCTTCACAAGCCTGGTGACAGTGAATTGCAAGGGGGTGCCACTGGGGGGCTACCCATGACCATCCTGGTTCCCCCGCCCGTGCTGGCTCCCCAACCCCACCCCGGTTCCCGGCCCCAGGGTAAGCTCATGGTGAGGCCTGCACCATCTCAGGCCGAGAAGCTCTCGATCTTTCTCAGGGAAGAGCAGCCCCCGGAGACCCTGCTCTGCCAGCCTGGAGCCGCATCCCTTGGGCAGCAGGCCATCGCCTTGGACCATGGCCAGACCCCGCTGGCTGGGGGCAG